GCCACTTCTCCTACCTGGTTGGAGGTCATGGCCACGATCCTGTCCAGGTCTTCTACCAGCTGCTTGAAGGTGGGTCTCTGGGAAGGCACAGCGTGCCAGCAATCCCTCATCATCATGTACCTGTGAGGGCAAGAGCTGAGCATGGGGCCAGCAGAAGGGGACCCCACCCATGGGAGAGGAACACCCAGGAACAGACCCCTGCACCCAGGCTGGGACCCACGGCCAGGGAGGATGCTATCCCAGGATTTAGGGTAATCTCCTGTGGGGAAGGAAGGGAATCCCCCCAGCTGCCCTTGCAAGGGGCTGTCTGGAGAGGAGGACGGACATGGCCTGGGCTGGTCCCTGTGCTGGGATTCCCTCCTGCCATGGGATAATGGAGGGAGATGCTGATTATTGCAAACAGATCGGGCTGATGGTTTTGCAGGGCTGGGAATTGCTGGGATTGTAGATCCAAACATCTGGTTGTCCCCCTCCATGCCCCAGCCTGTGCCCTGGGTCAGGCAGTGGCACCCAGAGACTTCCAACCCTGCCTCACCAGTCCCAGCTGGGCAGGGAGTGTTGGGGTACCAGTGTCCTCCCTCTTGCCCATCCCAGTGCTGCACTCACAGCTCGTTGGTGCAGTTGCTGGGCTTGTCCATCCTGTGACCTTCCTTCAGCAGCTTGAAAAGCTCCTCGACGGGCACACCGGGGTAGGGAGACCCGCCCAGCGTGAAGATCTCCCACAGCAGCACCCCGAAGGACCACCTGGGAACACAGGGTGGACACTGGGGCACCAGCTCCGGGGGGGCTGACACCCCACAGGGCCCCAGTCTGGGTACACTTAGAGGCTGGTTTGCTGGGAGGGACAAGCACCCACAGTTTCAATTCGCTCTGCAGGACAGACGAGTGCCAGCACCAAATACAGTCTGGATTCGAAATATTTGGTCGGCTGACGCTAATCATAATTTCATCAAACTAAGACGAACCCCAACCGTGCACTTCCCCGGCGGGCACTACTCACACGTCGCTCTGGTGGGTGTAGATTCGGTCAAAGAGGGCTTCGGGGGCCATCCACTTCACCGGCAGGCGACCCTGGGACACAGAACCCCCCATTGGCTCCGTGCCACCCAAGCGTGGGGGGGTCTGGGGCAGGGGGCAGCCCTGCACGCCCATCGCATTCCCAGCGCCGCTTGGGGCACCCCTGGCACCCCCACCCCAGCAGGACCCCCCTGGCCCAGCCCTCACATTTGTCGTCTTCTTGTAGTAATCGATGTGGTGGATGTCGCGGGCCAGCCCGAAGTCCGCGATCTTCATCACGTTGTCCTCCGTCACCAGCACGTTCCTGGCCGCC